AGGCCAGTGTTATGGAAATATTGCAAAGCAAAGCAAACGGCTGATGCGTTATCCAGGGAAGGACTGCCCCACCAGGACCCAGCCTCCCGGGAGGCCGCCCCCACACTGCGCTGGGCTCAGCAAGGAGGCCTCAGGCTAAGCCCCTTTGATCTTAGTCTCCACAACCTGACAGGTTAGTGGGCTGCTGTGGCCCCTGCCAGTATGAACGATGCTACCGTTCTGACTAGACAGCCACCACGAGCCCGCCATCACGTGTTCACAGTTCCTCTGCTGAAGCCAGGGGAGATCCCGGTTCTGCCGGGCACCCAGCACAGCTGAATCAGAGAGGGAGTGAGCCTGGTCCGCCTGGTGTGGGTCCCGCACCCTGAGCAGTCCCTGCTCTGAGAAGAGGCAGGTCCCCGGGCGATCGCTCACCTGCTGAGTAAAAGCCGGGCCCGGCCTCATGGACTGCTGGTCAAAGCTCACGTCTGGGAAGAAGCTGGTCAGAGACGAGCCCTTCAGGGAATAAGGAGGGGCGTTTAGTTGGAAGTCGGGGCGAAATAAGCCTTCCCCCCAGCCCGGTGCTCCCGCCGGGACTCACCTGGCCTGTGAGGAGCTGGAAGTCCGGCTGCGGCAGGGACGGGGCTGCCTGTGGCTGCTGTGGGGGCTCCTGGGCGTGGGGCTGCTGTAGGAGAGGCTGGGGGAGCTGCTGGGGTGTGGGGTACGGGGGAGGCGGGGACACTTGAGCCTGAGCGTCTGTGGGCAGGAAGGTAAGCGGGCTCCCATCGGAGGACACCATCTGGAAAACAAAGTCACCATGTAGCTGAGCTTCCGAGTTCCCCGTCTGAGTCCTTTAAGAGGAGGAGACGTCGCGGTGAGGAAAGACCTTCGCCTGGGCATTCTGTGCTGGGCTGAGAAGCTAGTTCTGCTCCTTCAGAGGGTATCTTGAATCTCACTTCCCCACAAAGCATTACCCACTCCATGACAATTTCTATTGTCCCGAAAAACAAAAAACCCAGCCAATTTACCAGTTTCCTCTGTTTTCTCAGTAAAAGCCATGTTGTTGGTTTTTTTTGTTTTTTTTTTTAAATATATTTTTATTGGCTTCAGAGAGGAAGGGAGAGGGAGAGGGAGACAGAAACATCAATGATGAGAGAGAATCATCGATCGGCTGCCTCCTGCACTCCCCACACTGGGGATTGAGCCCACAACCCGGGCATGTGCCCTGATCGGGAATCAAACCATGACCTCCTGGTTCATAGGTTGACACTCAACCACTGAGCCACACTGGCTGGACTGGAGGATTTGTTTTTAGCTGTATTAAGAAGAGACCTACCCAATTCCAAGCGTTTGGGACTGAATTAGTAATATATGCATAGAACCAAACTAACAAAGTAAGATATTTATTAAAACCCGGGAGGAAAAAAAATGGTACTTTGTTATTTCATAGGGTACTATATAGTTAAATTCGGATTACATTATTATAACTATGAAAACATTACACACTGATATGTGTTATGTGTGTGGGAGGACTGGGAGAGCTGAAGAAGAACAAAGCATTAATCTCCTGCGGTAGAATGTCACTAGATAACACCTAACACTGACATTGTAGGACGAAATAAGCTTGAAATAATGTGTTTAAACCCAAAGAGATGAGCTGAAGTGGTTGAACACAGTCATCTCCAGGGAGAGAGAAATATGGGGGAAGGGGAAACAACTCTAATTCAGAACAAGTCCCTTAGAACTCTTTGACTTTTTAAATTATAAGCATGAACAACAATGATTTTTTTTAAAAAAAAACAACACCAAATATAAAGCGAATTTTAAAATGGAAACATCTGTAGAAAGATGCTCTCTATCCATATAGTCTTCTTAAAATGTATCTAGGAAGCCTGAATAATATTTTTCATAGCCTGTCAAATAATTTTGCAAAATAAAATTAATAACATAAAAAGAACCATTAAAAAACAATTATGTATTTCCCTCTCCCCAAAGGGATTACT